AAGAACTACTGTACATCTGAGAATGAATGTGCCTGGCATGCAAAATGATTGGACCATTTCAGTCTAGCTGTGAGCCATCTGGGAGTCAATATTTATTGATGATCATTACTAACAGCACTACAATAATAAATCTGATAGGCTGGAAAGCTCAGAAGTTTTTTGTTAATCTTTGTAAAAGGATACGTTCACCTTAAGATTATGTTACATGTTACACTCGTGCCCCCCTCACCCCCTGAGCCCATTGAGAATGAGGTTACCCACCATCTAGTGTTTTCAAGTCTACCAAGGTGTCCTGCTATGCTGAAGATTACTTCCAGAAGTCCTAACAGGCAAGTACTGTTCTCCTGGTAACCTCCAAACCCAGACAGAGAAGCGTGATTCGTCACTCCAGAGAACATGTCCCTAGAGTCCAGTGGTGGTGTACTTTACATCACTTTGTTGGACGCTTTGCATTGCACTTGGTGATGTAAGGCTTGGATGCAGCTGCTCGGCCATGGAAACCTATTCTATGAAGCTCTCTACTCACTGTCGTTGTGCTAATCTGAAGGCCACATGAAGTTTGAAGGCCTTTAGCTATTGACTCTGCAGACAGTTGGCAACTTGTGCACACTGTGCACTTCAGCATGTGCTTGCCCTGTTCTGTCATTTTACGTGGCCTACCACTTCGTGGCTGAGTTGTTGTTGCTCATAGTAGCTTCCACTTTGTTATAATACCACTAAGTTGACCGTAGAATATTTATTAGCCAGGAAATTTCATGGATGGACTTATTGCACAGGTGGCAACCTATCACAGTACCACGCTTGAATTCACTGAGCTCCTGAGAGTGACCCATTCTTTCACAAATGTTTGTAGAAGCAGTCTGCATGACTAGGTGCTTGATTTTATACACCTGTGGCCATGGAGGCAATTGGAACACCTGAATCCAATGCTTTGGAGGGGTGTTCCAATACTTTTGGCAATAATATATATATATACATACAGTTGTGTTCAAAATAATAGCAGTCAGACATCACTAACCTGATCAATCACTGTTTTTGGTAGTAATGATATTTCTACATGGCAAATAATTTACTAGCAGGTGTAGTAGAGTAATAGAAATCCAACAGACCCAACAATCATGACATGCATGCTGCTGATTCTGTGTAATTGAAAGTGTTCCTTTCATGTTTTAGAGCAATGTACATTAAAACTTGTAGCAACCTTTATAAAAAAAAATACCTAGGCTTGAATATCTGCTACTCAAATGATGCGGTCAAATACCAAGGGGGGGGGGGGGGGTACTTAAAGTTTCGATTAACTGATCACCGTCTTTAGCAGAGATCACTGCCCTCTGACTGATCACCAAGAGGTTTCTCTAGCCAAGGTAGCAAATAAAGATTTCTGCTACCCTTTATATGTTTATTGACTATAGTAGGCAGACAATTGGAGTATACTACTTTTAAAGATTGGAAATCACACTGATGTTGGGAGTAAGAGCATGGACTAGCAACATGAAAGGATCAATTGAATACTGGGAATACTGACCTTACTTTCATACACATCAGTGAAGATTGTCTCATATATAAGGCATTGCAAAGAGGTATCATTTTTATACTGAGATAGATACACAAAGTCCAAGTGAGCTTCAGATTCTGAATCCCTTTTAGGAAGAAGAAATTAATAAAAAAAAAAACACTTAATGAACAAGAGAAATAGCTGTCTATACGTAGCTCGCAGTTTCCATTTAAAGCACTGCTAGTTCTGTTCTTAGACTGTGCTGATATATAATTATGAGTCTAATTTCAAAAGTGTTGTTAATATCTATTTCATAATAAACAACCTGTAATATTGTCAGGAAGAAGTTTAGTTTGGCCCCTTATATGCATTTTATCTGAACTATAATTGTCTACCCTGCAATGTGCCTCATTCCATGGATGCCTCAAAAAAAAAAGTCAGAAGAAGCCTAGCAAAGCTATTTTTGAGCAATGCATTAGCCTTATCATTACAACACATTTATCAGTCTTCCTTGGTCATTGATCTTCATAACCAGTGGTAATACACAGTACATAAATCTGGAATTAATTAAATTGAACCTATAAAAATGCAGGCTTAGCAAATTTTGTGATGCATAGTCTTCTTTTCTGAGGGTTATCTTGTAAAAATACCAAAGAGTTTGGAAAATATAAAGTCTTTAATATTTTAGTTATTTTTTATACTATTTATACATGAAGTAAAAAAAGGTTACATAAACTAAAAAATGTTGGTTAATTAAACAGCCATGTTTCCATTGAAATGTGACTGAAACAAATAACTTACCCAGGCTGGGATGATGGGAGAAACAAGGCCATTGTATAGTTCTAAACCAAAATAAACAGTGCAAAACAATACACAAAACAAATTAATAATTTACACAATAATAAATGTTAAATTATAAAACACAAAAAAATTAAAAATAAGATTATTAGTGTCCAAAAAAAACGTAATGTGTCCAAAAAAAGTACGACCAATAACGCCCAGTAGGAGGGGCGAAATGCGTCAACGCACTTCCGGTCTTAGGTCTGAACATCTTGCGCAACGTCCGGTGAGTGGAACACACGCCGAGAGGTGCATTCCAAGCGGCCATTTTTAGATCTGGTTGATATACATACTGTCATCCTCTGCAATTCAAGCTGTGAGGTTTCTGGAGCTGTCCCTAGATGTCATGCTTATTTTGTTTGGCCGGTGGAGGCTAATAAATATTGCTTTTATGGAACTTGTGAAATGTGAGTGGCCTGATATTATTAACTAATGTTATGTGGTCATTAGCAATATTACACTATATACACTTTTTTCCTTTGCACAATTGTGGAGCTGGTTTGGAAGGCTGTATTGGGAAGTGAGTGGAAGAATCATCCAAGCCCTGTATGGTGGAATTGAGGTCTGGAGGCTGTAAAGGGGGTATAGGATCCCTAAAAGTCCTAAAAGGCCTATTTGTCAGGGCTCCCAGGTATGACCAGAGGTGTGTGACTGAAGCAGGGAAACGCAGACCTCAGATATGTTATAAACAATATAATTTATTAACACTAACAGTACAAACATAAACGCAGTGCAATACTAAAACATAATACAGTGCAAACAAAAACCAAACCACCCACAGATAATAACAGTATATACAAGCAAGTGTCGTCAGGCAGGCCGGGTCAATATCAATTGGGCAGGTAGGTACAGGGGGAGCAAGCGGAGAATAGTCGGGGTCACAGGCCAGGTTCAGCAGGTAGCAAGCAGCATAGTACAGAGGGTCAGACAGAGGAATGGTCAGGGTCACAAGCCAGGATCAGAGCAGGAGAAGTCAGCAAAGGAACAGAAACAGGATGCAGGACAGATACAGGGCCCAGGACAAACACAACACCAAGGCAGAGTCTGCAAGTCTGGCCATCCCTTAAATACCCCAGCATCATCAGTTCCAGGTGTTAGCTGGCTGAAAGGTTGAGTCTCTGATTGCTGGGAGCACCCGCTGGCCAGCCATGGTACTGCAGATCAAAAGGCAGGTGAGTCCCACCATTGCTGGCCAGTCCATTCCTAACAGTACCCCCCCCTCAAGGAGCGGCCTCAGGACGCTCCAAACAGTCCTAGCTGGCAAAATGTTCCACCGCGGGTCTGGCAACTGGCGGGATATCAAAGACTGGCACACCGGGCAGGACTCCGGGCAGCGGCACACCGGGCAGAGGCACATCGAGCAGAGGCACACCGAGCAGAGGCACACCGAGCAGAGGCACACCGGGCAGAGGCACACCGGGCAGGACTCCGGGCAGAGGCACACCGGCAGAGGCACATCGGGCAGGACTCCGGGCAGAGGCACATCGGGCAGGACTCCGGGCAGAGGCACATCGGGCAGGACTCCGGGCAGAGGCACATCGGGCAGGACTCCGGGCAGAGGCACATCGGATTACCAGGCGAAGCAGCAGGCAGCGGGCCACCAGGCGGGGCGACAGGCACCGGGCCCCCGGGCGGGGCAGCAGGCACCGGGCCCCCGGGCGGGGCGGCAGGCACCGGGCCCCCGGGCGGGGCGGCAGGCACCGGCCCCCCAGGCGGGGCGACAGGCACCGGACCCCCAGGCGGGGCGACAGGCACCGGACCCCCAGGCGGGGCGACAGGCACCGGACCCCCAGGCGGGGCGACAGGCACCGGACCCCCAGGCGGGGCGACAGGCACCGGACCCCCAGGCGGGGCGACAGGCACCGGGCCCCCAGGCGGGGCGACAGGCACCGGGCCCCCAGGCGGGGCGACAGGCATCGGGCCCCCAGGCGGGGCGACAGGCATCGGGCCCCCAGGCGGAGCGGCGGGCGCCGGACCCCCAGGCGGAGCGACAGGTCTCGGGCCCTCAGGCGGAGCGGCGGGCGCCGGACCCCCAGATGGAGCGATAGGTCTCGGGCCCTCAGGCGGAGCGGCGGGCGCCGGACCCCCAGCTGGAGCAACAGGTCTCGGGCCCTCAGGCGGAGCGGCGGGCGCCGGACCCCCAGGCGGAGCAACAGGTCTCGGGCCCCCAGGCGGAGCGGCGGGCGCCGGACCCCCAGGCGGAGCGACAGGTCTCGGGCCCTCAGGCGGAGCGGCGGGCGCCGGACCCCCAGGTGGAGCGACAGGTCTCGGGCCCTCAGGCGGAGCGGCGGGCGCCGGACCCCCAGGAGGAGCGACAGGTCTCGGGCCCTCAGGCGGAGCGGCGGGCGCCGGACCCCCAGATGGAGCGACAGGTCTCGGGCCCTCAAGCGGAGTGGCAGGTGCCGGACCCCCAGGCGGAGCGACAGGTCTCGGGCCCTTAGGCGGAACGACAGGTCTCGGGCCCCCAGGCGGGGCGGCGGGCACCGAGTCACCAGGCACAACAGTGGGCTCCGAGTCAACTGGGATGACCGCTGGCACTGGGTCAGACATTGGATCGTCTGGCTGGACAGCGGGCATCGGGTCACCAGGCATCAGGTCATTTGGCTCGACAGCGGGCACCGCGTCATCTGGCAAGGCAGTGGGCTCCGAGTCAACTGGTATGACCGCGGGCACTGGGTCAGACATTGGATCGTCTGACTGGACAGCGGGCACTGGGTCACCAGGCATCAGGTCATTTGGCTTGTCAGCGGGCACCGCGTCATCTGGCAAGGCAGTGGGCTCCGAGTCAACTGGTATGACCGCGGGCACTGGGTCAGACATTGGATCGTCTGACTGGACAGCGGGCACTGGGTCACCAGGCATCAGGTCATTTGGCTCGACAGCGGGCACCGCGTCATCTGGCAAGGCAGTGGGCTCCGAGTCAACAGGCACGACAGTGAGCACCGGGGCATCAGGTACCGGATTGTCTGGCTCGACAGCGGGCATCGGGTCACCAGGTATGACAGCGGGCACTGGGTCGCCAGGCATCAGGTCATCTGGCAAGGCAGTGGGCACCGCGTCACCAGGCATTGGATCGTCTGGCTCGACAGCGGGCATCGGGTCACCAGGTATGACAGCGGGCACTGGGTCCCAAGGCATCAGGTCATCTGGCAAGGCAGTGGGCACCGGGTCACCAGGTATGACAGCGGGCTCTGAGTCAATTGGCACGACAGCGGGCACTGGATCAGGTACCGGATCATCTGGATCAACAGCGGGCATCGAGTCAACTGGCCTAATAGGATCGTCGGGCTGGATCAGTTCATCCTGCTGAGTAGCGGCATCAGGCTGAATGCAGGCATCAGGCCGAGTAGAGGCCTCAGGCCGAGTAGAGGCCTCAGGCCGCGTAGAGGCCTCAGGCCGCGTAGAGGCCTCAGGCCGCGTAGAGGCTTCAGGCCGCGTAGAGGCTTCAGGCCGCGTAGAGGCATCAGGCCGAGTAGAGGCATCAGGCTGAGGAGAGGCTTCAGGCCGCGTAGAGGCTTCAGGCCGAGTAGAGGCTTCAGGCTGCGTACAGGCATCAGTCTGAACCACGGAAGGCAGGCTCACCGGTTTGGATACTGGCAGGATGGTATTGGTTGGAAAGAATTTTCGCTTTTTTCTGGTTTTAACTACTGGAGCACTGCAAGTAAACGCAGGTCTGCAAACGAATGGAGCAGCTGGAGACAGAGAAGAACTGGAGGATGGAACAGGAGAGGGAGCAGTTGCTACAGAGGGCTTTTTTACAGGGTTAAAGGCAGGATAGGTGCAGCGAGTGGGAACAGGGTACTGACATGCGGTAGATAGCCAAGTATACTGGGCTGTAACTGGAGGAGCTGGTGGGAATACAGGAGTAGAGTTAGAAGCAGGACTGGGTCTTTGTAAGCTGACTGAGGCTGGGTGCAACAAATCTGTCCATGTCTGCAGTAGGGGTTGAACAAAGCTGAGTTTACACAAAGTCTGTCTGGTCAATGATTGCACTGCGTTTATACAATCTCTCAGTGTCTGTGGTGAACATGTGGAATAACGCTCCAGAAAGTAACCCACATCATCCTCTAATAACCACACCAGGGACTCTACCTGGTCTGCACTAAATGGTGGCAAAAATTCATCCCTGCATTCGGGGAAACCAGATGAAACCAACTCAACAAACCTGAATCAATGGCTGCACCATAGAGAAAACTGTGCCCTGATCTACTAGAACATGAGCGAGCCGTATACATTCTAGCAGTTCATCCCGGGTATACTCCTTCAGAGTCTGATAAGCATACTCTCTGTCATCAAGCACTAGCAGAGATAAATACGCAACCTCATCTAGATCCATCCTTCCCATCAACAAGCCAAGATGGCTTCCCTGTGCAGCCACTTCTGGTCAGGATTGGCCTTGGTGTAATGTCAGGGCTCCCAGGTATGACCAGAGGTGTGTGACTGAAGCAGGGAAACGCAGACCTCAGATATGTTATAAACAATATAATTTATTAACACTAACAGTACAAACATAAACGCAGTGCAATACTAAAACATAATACAGTGCAAACAAACCAAACCAAACCACCCACAGATAACAGTATATACAAGCAAGCGTCGTCAGGCAGGCCGGGTCAATATCAATTGGGCAGGTAGGTACAGGGGGAGCAAGCGGAGAATAGTCGGGGTCACAGGCCAGGTTCAGCAGGTAGCAAGCAGCATAGTACAGAGGGTCAGACAGAGGAATGGTCAGGGTCACAAGCCAGGATCAGAGCAGGAGAAGTCAGCAAAGGAACAGAAACAGGATGCAGGACAGATACAGGGCCCAGGACAAACACAACACCAAGGCAGAGTCTGCAAGTCTGGCCATCCCTTAAATACCCCAGCATCATCAGTTCCAGGTGTTAGCTGGCTGAAAGGTTGAGTCTCTGATTGCTGGGAGCACCCGCTGGCCTGGCCAGCCCTGGTACTGCAGATCAAAAGGCAGGTGAGTCCCACCATTGCTGGCCAGTCCATTCCTAACACTATTATTCACCAACATCTGGTGAGTGCGGTTTATGTTGGTTACAGCACTGGTGGATGGTGGAAGCACATATTATAGGAGGAGAATATTTTTCTGTTGAAGCACTCTGGAATGTGGGAAAAAGGACTTCATGTTTTAAATAAATTTTTTTTGGACACATTGTTTTTTTTGGACACTACTAATCTTATTTTTAATTTTTTGTGTTTTATAATTTAACATTTATTATTGTATAAATTAATTTGTTTTGGGTATTGTTTTGCACTGTTTATTATGGTTTATATTAACTACCTGCCGACCGCAGATAGCCGAATGACGGCTACACTGTGGCCGGCCAGTTCTGGGTGGACGTCATATGACGTCCTCCCACAACGCGCTCTCCTGCGCGCCCCAGGGGGCGCGCACCCCGGCGATCTCCGTGATCGCTGTGTCCTACGGACACAGCTGATCACGTGATGTGGTAAAAGGCCAATCACAGCGGCCTTTTACCACGTGATCAGCGGTGTCCAATGACACGCTGATCAGAGGAAAATGCAAGTGCCGGTTCTCGGCTGCACTTTCCTCACGCTGTCAGATCGTGAGGAAAGTACTGCCGAGAACCGGCAGTTTTCAGAGCGGGGATCGGAACCGATCATCAGGGCACTGATGATCAGTGCCCTGATGATCGGTGCCCAGCAGTGCCACCCGCAAGCTCCGCCCACCTGTGCCCAGCAGTGCGCCCACTAGCTCCGCCCACCTGTGCCCAGCAGATCACCCACCTGTGCCCAGCAGTGCACCCACCTGTGCCACTCTGCAGTGTCACACACCTGTGCCCAGAAGTGCCACCCACCTGTGCCCAGCAGTGCCACTCACCTGTGCCCACCCACCTGTGCCCACCCACCAGTGCCACCCACCAGTGCTGCCAGTCAGTGCCACCAGTCAGTGCCCAGGGGTTGTGCCAGTCAGTGCAGCCAGTCAGTGCCCAGCAGTGATGCCAGTCAGTGCCGTCTATCAGTGCCCATCATCAGTGTCACCTATCAGTGCCGCCTGTCAGTGCTGCATATTAGTGCCGCCTATCCGTGACACCTCATTAGTGCTGTCTATCAGTGCCGCCTATCCGTGCCACCTCATTAGTACTGCCTATCAGTGCCCTTTAGTGCTGCCTATCAGTGCCCATCAGTGCCGCCTATCAGTGCCCATCAGTGCTGCCTCATCAACGCACAGGAGAAAAAATTACATGTTTGAAAAATTTTATAATAGAAACAAAGAAACTTTTTTTTTTTTTTCGAATTTTTTGCACTTTTTGTATTTATAGCGCAAAAAGTAAAGCACCCAGTGGCGATTAAATACCACCAAAAGAAAGCTCTATTTGTGAGAAAAAAATGATCAAAATTTCATATGGGTACAATGTTGCATGACCGCGCAATTGTCAATCAAAGTGCGGCAGTGCTGAAAGCTGAAAATTGGCCTGGTAAGGAAGGGGGTATAAGTGCCTGGTAGGCAAGTGGTTAATTGGTGTTTTTCACTAGTGCACAACAGCAGTTCATACCTTTGTTTGGGGGTTATTCTGTGGCGCAGGTGTTTGCATTTATAACATTGAATACTTCTCTCTATACATTAATGCAATGGGGGAGATTTACTAAAACTGGAGCACACAGTAACCAATCAGCTTCCAGGTTTTATTGTCAAAGCCTAATTGAACAAGCTGAAGTTAGAAGCTGATTGGTTACTAGGCACAGCTGCACCAGATTCTGTGTGCGCCAGTATTAGTAAATCTCCGCCAATGTCTTTGATTCTATATCATGGGGCTCTCTTTTCTTCCTTCTCTATAGCTTTGTTTTTTCACCAAATTTGCTAAATACATTATATGAATTTTCTTGGAACCAACATTCTTATAAAAGACCAGAAATGTGTTTCAAATGATATAAGTAGAGGTACCTGTCAAGGCTTCCCCTTCTCCTGTATTATTTGTCTAAAGCAGGCCATACATGGGTCAAATTCTGAACGATTTTTTGATCAAAAGTCGACAACATCGTTCATTCTGTGATCTGATGGTGCCACCAACGATTTGGAAAATTGGTAGTTTTTCATGAATTTTCCATCATGCCTGATAAATGAAATGGGGAGGAACCACGAAAATCGGTCGGTGCCATTGTCTCACTAACAGAGCGAAAATCGGCTGATTCTTAGGTCCGATTTTCGAACGAAAAATCACTCGGAAATCGCCCCATGCATGGCCGGCCTTAACTATTAAACCACACATGATCACAATACGATTAATAGAAACCCTCTTGTACTTCTGTGACACCTGTGATCAGTGTTCTTACCCGGATACCTGGATTTAGGCATTAGCTTTATGACTGTTTCTCTAGTTTTCTTTGTTATAAATAATTCTTTTGAGTATGGCAGCCCATAGATCAGCCAGTTTTTCCATTCAAACAGCAGATTGAACAAAAAAAAAACTGACTCAATGCCCTCATCTCCACCTCCCCATCTAAGTATTGTATTCTGACAGCAGGGAGACTTCCCCACCATCAGAATACACTAATAAGAATTGCAGGCTGATTGAGCAGGGAAAATCTCACAGGGCATTTGTAAAGAATTTGATCAGTACACCCACAGTGCCCATACATGGATCGAGATTTGTCCAATCTCTGCTGTATGGCTAACCTGGACTGTAGCTTATAAATGCTGCAGAACGTCTTCCTTTGTTGCTGCTGTATCATCCTTCTGCAGTGTAGACAGGCGTAACCCTCTTTTGGGGAGTTATGAGAAATGACCCCCTCAAACAAGATGTTTCAATAAACCTGTAGTCAAATTAAAAAACAGAGCTTTGTTAAGCAAAAGAGTGATTGATAATAAAGTCAGCAGTGCCTCCACCCAGGACAGGGCCTCTGTGAACAGAGGGGAATCACTTGCAGGGAAATTAACCATTATTCTAACCAAAGTAATTTGAAGCAGAAGAACTACTGCAACCAGCATGTAACTCTAACCATTAGCATATAGACTTACACCAATATAGAAATAATACAAGCTTTATATAAAAAGATTAATAATTGTACATACATTCACTGTGCAAACAAATATTATCAACAAAAGGCCCAACAGGAGTCCTGGTGGAATTGTGCACATATACCTGCGTAAATATAGTTATTTATAGAGATTCCTCCAGATGAATATTGCTGCAAAGTCCCACTGCAGGGGCCCCTGAGGATGATGTGGCATCTGTCTTTGTGTCAGAGACCTAAAGACAAGAGCTGCGGTGATCAGAAGACCCTTCAGGCATTACTCAACCAACCTGGAATGCCGTCATAGTTAACTGGCAATAATTGACTCTTCTGTTTTGGTATTAGTAGCATGGACAGGACATGTGGCTGAGACTGCAGCCCTCTCTCTCCACTTCCTCCTTCCAGGATATATTTCCAACAACCCCAGAGTCAGGAAATGACATACATAAATATACATTACAGTGTGATACTAGCACCTGACAGTAGAGGACAGAGGATCCCTACACAGAGA